TCTCCGAGTTAGCCGTGCCCTGACTTAGATCAGCCCAGAGGTTGTTTCAGGGTTCAATCTCCGAGTTAGCCGTGCCCTGACTTAGATCAGCCCAGTGGTTGTTTCAGGGTTCGATCTGTGAGTTGACCATGCCCCGCAAGCTTAGATTAGCCCAGAGGTCGCTCTAAGTTCAATAAAATTGAGGTTTGCTAAAAAAAACCCATGATTTTGCAATATTTTTGTAATTTCAATTTTAATATTCTTCTTACAAGACCTCTAGTCTTCTGATTGAATTCAATAAAATAATCGAGGGAATTTACATAATAAATAGCAAATAACTTAGAACTAATACTCTATCTGTACATGAGCAATAAAAATCGGCAAAAAACCATCAATATCTATCTAAAAAATAAAAACCCTTCTAAAAATATTTGACTATAACAACTATATCTAATAACTCAATTGTCAAAGACAAATACATCTTGCAGAAATAATTCAAAAAATTAAAGTAATTTTCAAGAGCATCCCTCTTTCAAAAATGAAAATGTCTTTTTACTTTATCGGATATTAGGAATTTAACTTGAATTTTATTCCTCTATTTTTTGTTTTAAGACGGCATTACCTTTTAGGCTTGGCAAAGTTAATTAACAATATTTAGTAGCTTTGAAATAGAATAAAAATTCAGAGTGAATTATCATCTTAAAATTATTTGATTGGCTTAGAATCATTTTGATTACATCAAGTGATAATCGAGACTACCCCTCCCCCCTAAGATCTTAGTTGTCTTGGTATTTGAGAATGTTCAAAGCTATTAGTAAGAGAGCACAGCAGAATTGGATTTTACATAGCTTTGACCCAGATAGTTTAAATTCGTTAAACCTATTAAAATGAAGTTAATCTCATTCTTTTGAAATCTTTTCTACTTTTTGTTTCATGGTAGTCATGAGTTTTTGACACTCATTGGATTTTAGTTTAAATTTTTAGCCTTAAAAAAGTAAGTTACCATTGATTACTTAGATAATAGATAATAAAAAGAGCTTGCACGTGACAAGGCCTCACCCCTCCCCTAAGGGGAAGATGATTTGCACACTTGTTAACAGTAAAGTAAATGTAAGTTTTTGCAAGACGTCACAAGATGTTTCTTTGCTCTTACAGTTAACAGTTTTACTTATTTTCTCTGTTACCAAATTATGAATCAAGAAATGTTTAAGACCTATTTTGCATTTCCTTATATCTCGAAACGAGATCTAGAATCGAAATCTATTTTGTCCATCGACATTTTAAAATAAATTCTCCTGCATTTTACGATATTGTTGCTATGGCAACCGAGAGATTTGAAAGGGTGTTGTTCGACCTCATTAGAACCCGGTTCCTTTCTGCTTGACATTCTCGTGGAAGTCTCCTACGATGTTGCCAGGCGGATAGTATTTGCCTACAACTACGCACGATCCGTCATCTCCAATTGCTTTCCCCATACCGAACTCCTTTGAACCTGCCCAGACGACTTGGGTGAAGTTGGCAGTATGCGATGTATATCCTGGGTATTCGTAGTCGTAGTCGACGATCTCGTCATACCACGTGTCTACGGCGTCACGACCTGAGAGGTCGAGACCGAACGAGAAGGCGAGGCACTCGCCGATTTCTTTGGATCCGCTATGCATAAACGAGCCGCTTTTGGTTAATTTTTCTGCGAAGGTTTGGGCTTCGTTGGCTAGCATTGTTGACCACTTGAGCGGTGGCGCACCGTGTAAGGAACGGTAGTAGTTATGACTTATAACGCACTCGTTCTTGAACTTTTCTGTTGAAAATGGAAGGGTTAGCGTTGATGCATTCAACACGTGCGCACATACATGAAGTCGTTGTCATGGTGACTTATGGCGGGTCTTGTCGTCATATGGTGACGTCATTGTCTCAAAGTCAGGTAGCCCAGTAGGCCAAAACCGGTAAGGAGGAGAAAAAATAAAAGTAAAACAGGCTGTACGTTCATTGACAACCACTTGCCCGGGGATGTGTCTAGTGATTTGGTCGAGTCTTGGTTGTTTGACCATCGTGGTGACCCTTTGTTACAAAGACAAAGGGAGGGGGTGTTAGAGTGCTTGGAAATGGGGCGGGGTACCTCGCGGCGCTCGCAAAAWAAAAAAAAAAAAAGGAAGGCAGAGAGGAACGAAGAGAGGAAGGAGAAAAATGAGAAAGTGGAGGAGATTGAGAGAGAGAGAGAAGAAAATGAGATAGAGAGAAGAAATTGAGAGAGAGAAAGCAAGAAAAAATTAAAAAAGTCAAACAAGAAGGAAAAGAAAAAAAATTAAACATAGCAAAAGCAAAGCAAGCAGAAAAATTAATATGAATAACGTGACAAAGTGTCATTAAAATAATAATAACAATAACAAAAATAGCAACTAACATTAAAAACACATTAATACGAATAAAATTAAATTTAAAAAAATCGAATACAAAACAGAGCTGCGCGAGGGTACCGGTGTTTTATTCCTTATAATAGGGTGCAACTACCCAGAAAGTGCGTGATGTTGATTGGTTAGCCGATCGACTGTGGTGTTAGAGATTGTTACATTCTTGTGAATCAGTTCTGATGAATAAAATGAATGCAAATCAGTAGTATCCTCAGTAGTGGTAGTGCATGAATGCGAAACTGTGGAGTTGTTCTGCGTACAGAATTGACGGTGAAAGTGATAGGTTTTATATTTACTAGACCAAGCATTCTGTAGGATATGGTAGTTTCTTTACGTACCTCGATGTAGAACATTGGACATATCAGAGGAATGACTCAATTGTCTCCTAGTACTTGATCTTCTCCTTTTCCTTACATTTGTTTTTTGGCCTCGGGATCTCCTTATGCTGTCTTTAAACTCTCCCAAGATATTCCCCGGTGGATTGTATCGCGCAACAACATACTGAGAACCATCGTCTGCAATGGTCTTAGCGACACCAAATTCTTTAGTCCCTCTCCAAATCATCTGGGTAAAATGACCACATTTAGCATTGAACGCCGGAATCTCAAAATTGTAGTCGCTTATTTCTTCGTACCACATGTCAGCCACTTTATCACCCCTCAGGTCGTAGCCCTTGGCGCAGGCGAGGTTTTCACCGCATTCTTTCTGGGGACTGTGATCGAGAGTTTTGGTGGCAGCCAAATGGTCAGCCCATTGCGCAGCAGCTGCAGCAAGATCCTCTGACCACAGTAGTCTGCAGGCGCGATGTCGGTGGCGGTATATGTTGTGTTGTCGTATGCAGTCAATTTGGAATTCATCTAGACCTAGAAAAACAGAATGTTTTGTGAGTAGCTGAAATAATTGCATGCAAGGGCATGTTTTGTATATGTGTGATACTGAGGCTCAAATGGTTCCGCCTTGAACCAATGAAAATAAAAGAACAGAAGAAGCGAGACAAATGCAAATAAGTCGAAATCTTTTCATGCAAAAGTGCACAAAAAAAACATGCAAATAAGGTAAAGTTGATTTTTAAGTGGGCAGCGGTTTCTATAAGGCATTCGTTTCCATCACTTCTTTCCCCATCAAAAAAGAAACCTTTTCAATTGCCCCAAGGAATATTTCATCGTCAAGATAAACAAAGATTGTTATTCCGACATCAAGATTGTAGACCCTTTGACCCTTTGATCACGAACTTTCTTATAATGAAGATGAAACAATTCTTTTATGCATAAAGCAGACAAAAGAAAAAAA